CCTCCAGACTAGACACACCCTATCTGGCGTCTCCTCCTCCAGGAAGCCTTCTGTGATCTTTTCACCCACGCTAGCCCTCCAGCTCTGATGAACAGTGGAGGACTGAGTAAAGATGGAGGCTCCGGAGCACGCAGGCCCAGACCTGAACCTACGTATGTGTGGCTCTATCTGGCGCTCTGTGCCACGCCAGCTGTGCTCTTCTAATCAACTGGACATTTATGTGGCAGGCCCTTGCTAGATGCTGGGCATATGGACCTGGATCAAGCATTGTGGGTACTGCCAGGAGGAGTGCCTCAACCCCATGGGCACACTGGAAGTCTTCCTGGAAGAGGTGAAGCTTGAGCCAAAGTTCGAGGGATGGGGAAGAGGTGGGTGAAGAGGAGTGGAAGTGTATGCCAGGCTGAGGGAATAGCACGCAGCAGGACAGGGGCCAGGGACCGGCACAGCCCCGCCTGGGCACGTCAGTAGCTCAGGAAGGCTGGAGGAGAAGGGGGAAGGGAATGAAGAAGGATGAAGATAGGAAGGGACCAGAGCAAGAGAAGCTGCGAAGTCAAGGCTGAGAACTTTGGATTTTATTCTGAGAACAATGAGAAGCTTCTGGAGGGTTTTTAGAAGAGCACTCTCAGCGGCTCTCCTTGGCTCAAAGCCTTGCAGCAGCTCCCATCTCTCGCCATGGAAAAACCGAAGTCCTTACGGTGGCTACAGAGCCCTACATGATCCATCACCTCCTAACTGCCGTCTCTCGGATCTCCTCTCCTCCTGCTCCCCCCTTGCTCACTGGCTCCAGCTGCACTGGGCTCCTTGCTGTTCCTTAAATGTGCCGGGCGTGCTCCCACCTCCGCACATGCTATCCCCTATTTGGAGTACCCTTTCCCCAAATCTCCACATGTCCACATGGGTGTGAGACCTGTGCAGGCACACAGGACCCCATGCTTAGAAGGGCCCTGTGCTTGGTTTAATGCCCTGCCACTGTCATCTTGAAATTCTTAATTCATTTGAACTAGGGGCCCCATCTTTTCGTTCTGCAGTGGGCCCCACAAATTATGCAGCTGGGCTTGTCCACGTGGCTCCCGCCCTCTTTACTTCCTTCAGGTCTTCACCTCAGGTGTCCTCTTTGCAAAGGAGCCTACTCTGGCACACCTGATTAAACCTGCCACCCTGGCCCCAGCCTGGCACACCTTACCCCCTTCTCTGCTATATTTTCCTCCACAGCACATCTCTTTCTATCACACTGTACGTTCTACTATTTAGTTTGTCATCTGCCCTCTGAAGGCAGGGGTTTTTGTCTGTTTTGTTCACTGTTGTATCCCCCAGTGCTTAGCACGGTGCCTGGCACAGAGCAGTGCCCAATAAGTATTTGTTGAATGCATGAATGAATGCACGTGATGGAAAATGGACTGAGAAGTATAAAGGGGAGAACCTGGAGGGGGACTGGCTTGGTTGTTGGAGTTGTCCAGGCTAGAAGTGATGAGCAAGAGACAAACTCTTGAGCCTCAGTTTCCTCATCTGTAAAATGGGCATCATAACACCAACCCAGGATAATTTGTAGAGAAATTTAGGTAAACACAGGCTCCTTTCTTTCCCTTCTTTCAGCAAGGGTCTCTCAGCGTAGCTCATAGGCTGTCCTCTAGCCTTAGCTATTTTTACTTTTTTTTTGGTCCAAATCGGTTGTCAAACCTCATGACAACATGTTTAATACCTTGCGATGGGTTGTCACTCCAGCCCCTCCTGAGACAATGTTGCCAGGCCTGGGACTTGGTGTTTGCTTGGTCAGCCTGCCTGGCTGTTAAGACTTGCAAGCACCTCGTCCTGCCTCCTCTGCCTCAAATCTTCCTCCAGGCCGCCTTACACATTGTGACCTGCAGAGGGCGCTGTCCAACACACCCCTCTCCTGTCCAACTCCCGCCCTAGCGCTGGTTCATTCAACGGGCCACGCCCTGGGCTGGAACCTTTCCAGGCTCTTAGTCCGTGCGGGAACTAAAGGCAAAGGGATGGAGAGGTTCCCCCCAAGGAGAGGCTCCTGGACCCCTGCAGCTGTGCTTTCCAATCCTTTTCCCTTCGTGGCACGCAGAAAAAATATTTTGGGCCCGTAAGGGCAAATCGACAAGGTCACTCAAAGTAAGGCAGCAGGGCTGGGGACTCTGGGCTGCCCAAGCGCCACCGGACTGGCACACTATTTAGGGTGCATTGTGTTGGGAGGCTCTGCCTTCCAGAATAGCCAGCGGGTCCTACTGCCACAGCCGAGAGTCGCTTTACTTTAAGCAACAGCGTTCAAAGTAAAGAAACCATTTCTTGTTCAAAAGACTTTTTAAAAACTTTGCTAATTATACCTGTTAAGCTGGTAGTGCTTTATATTATCTTTTATTGCAAGAGTCCAGCATATAATACGAGGGCTTAAAGAGTTTAGAAGGCTAGCCTGGGAACCAAATAATGAACTCTACCTATCTTTTTATGGTACCATACGTAGTGTTTTGTTTTGGTTTTGGACTATGTGCTTTGGAGATCAAACAGCTAACCTTAAAACTTTTGGAACCCCACATATTTACAAGTTGGCCCTCGCATAACATCTCTGGAATTATTCTGCATTATTTTTAAATTTCCCCAACCAGATGGTAAATGCCTTGAGAACAGGACACCCTAATCTATTTCACTGCACCTCCAGCAGTGGCTATCACTGTGCTTACTGAGCACCCATCACTGTTCCTAGCGATTTATGTTGCATCTTTATAACAACAAGAATGATGTTGTAACCACGCCCGCTTAACGGATGAACAGCTGAGACTTAAGAGAGTTTTGGTGACCTCCCAAGTCCACGCAGCTGGTGAGTGGCAGAGCCAGGATTTGAGTGAGGTCTGTGTGGCTCCGGGGCTGCCATGAAGACACCAGGAGAGGGGTGCTGGGATCCAAGTCCCACTGGGTGTCAGGTGTCTGCTGGGGAGATGAGAGGGCATGTCCTGAGCTTAGGGCCTGCCTAGCAGGCGTTAGACCAGCACACAGAGGACTGTAAGACAAGGTTGTGAAGGGGTGGTGAAGGAGGGGAAGACTGTGGGCCAAAGGGTGAGCAAGAGGCAGACGTGGGCTCAGAAATCTGCCCTGGGAGCTTCTCTTGCTTTAGAGGAGTCACTTAATCTTTCTTTTGACTTGTTTGTTCACCTGTAAAATGGGAATATTTTATAAAACCTGCACCCACTACCTAACAGCGTTGCTGTGGGGCTCAAATGAGATTGTGCAGCTTTCCAGAGGGGCGCTGGAGAGTGTGGACCAAGAATGCCTGTAGAGCATCACTGGCCTAATTCACACTAGGCACCAGGCACAGAGAGGCATGTATATCCTGACACAGCATTGCTGCCTAGTTCGTTAACCTCTGAGCATAAGTCTCTGAATCTGAAAAACAGGGATAATATCATGTAAGAGAATATGCCTGGCACATAGTAGCTGCCCGAGAAATGGGAGTGCTTGCTCGCCTCACCTCCTTGCTGATGCCATCCAGGACAGCCCTCTCAAGGGTCATTTCCCCAGGCTCTCCAGGAGGGGGCGGCAGGGAGCCATCCTTCAAGGGACGAGTACTGCCTGGGACAAGCAGCTCCTTAGGGATGCCTGGCTCCAGCCCTGGCTGAGGAGTAGAGTTGAGCTGGCCACCCTGTGGACCTCCTGACCCATGGCTAGTTTTCTTTGAGGGAAATCCCCCTCTAATTGCACTGGATAAAATCTCGTGAGCTTTGCCCTGCGGTGGACCCACCCGTCGGGGAATCCCTGGCAGACGGCCCCTGGGGTGAGAGCTTCTGGAGCATCTCCGGCGTATGGGTGGAGTGCTGTGCTTCTGGGAACTTCCAGAAGGTTCACCCCCAGTCTAGATCAAGCTGCCCAGTCCACACCATGCCTCAAATATAGAAGAATACCTAAATGGGCAGTCTGTTTCTTACTCCCCGCTCTCACCCCACTCTGAGTGCTGTGCCTGGTACCTACTAGGAGCTCAGGAAATGACCTGTCCAATGACTGAATGACTGAGTCTGCCCAGAGGTAAATTTGCCCGCCCCTCACTGGGAGGCAACAGCTCTGTTGTCTCCACCACGAGCCCCAAGGGCAGTGACCACATCTTAACCATCTTTGAATGTCTATAGCCCAGCACAGAGGCTGGCACAGGGGAGCTGGGCCCTCAGGGTTTGAGCACTGGGCCTGGGCTTCGAGGATACTGACCTGCTAGGACTTCAAGGATCACTGGGGCCTCGGCCGCTCACCCACAGCTCTCCATCACATTGTGGAGAAAGCCTCCAACCCTCAGCCTGGCATGAAAAGCTCTGCACCTTATGATGCCTCTAGCCTCTTCTGACTCAATACTCAGTGTCCCACCTGCCCCCGACCCCAGCTCCAGTTTGCCGCCTCCTGGCCTCGGCTCACCTGCTCACGTCTCTCCTAATCCCTCCTACGTCTCCCTCCCTCCCCTGGGAAGCCTTCTTGATCAGCTCCTCCTGTACCTACCACATCCCTGCACATACCTGCACTGAGGCACCTGCCCCTAAGAGCGGTAACTACCCATCTCCCACCCTGGACTGTGAACTCCTGAGGGCAGGGGCTCAGGGCCATGCATACCCCATGGGCACACAGGGCCCGGCAGGGTGGACGCCATAAATGTTTGCGGAATGAATGAACGAGGCCTACCCACCAGTCCACCAAGCCCTCTTCCCATGAGTTCCTCAACAGGACATGGGGAATTTCCTCCAGGATGTCCTGCTGTGCCCTCACACCCACCCAGCTGGGATAAGATATTCCAAACATCTCCAGCAGCAGCGTTCCCTTCAGCCAGCCCCGAGACTCCGTTCTCTGTCACCACGGAGCACAGTGGTGCCAGGCTATCTTTCCTAAGCACAGCCTGATGAGGACAGCCCTGGGCTCAGGAAACTTTCATGGCTTCTTCTGTTCCACAGCATTAGGTCTGTGATTCATTCCTGTAAGTTCTCCAAGAGGGCTGGTGCTGCCTCCTAAGCTACCTCACGGCCCGTGAGCTCCCCACACACCTGTCACTCTCATCACAACAGGTTCCCCTCAGGCTCAGGACCAGCCCCTGCTCAGCTGGGATCCAGGGCCTCCACTCGTGCTATTCTTCTCTCCAGGAAGCCATCCCCCTTTTCCCTGACTCTCCTCTGCAGACTTGCCTGACTGCTGGAGCCCTCTCTCCCTCGCTGCCACTGTGTGAGCATCAGCCTCTCCCGAACCAGTCTGTGAACGCCTTGTACCTCTTCCCGCACCTCTGGCCCCCTCCATTCCTGGTACCCTCCCGAGGCTGCAGATGGTTGCCTGATGGCCAAGGCGAGGGCTGAGTGCTGGCGCCAGGGGTCCCCCCCAGAAGCCCAGGTCCCTTGGGGGCCTCACCTCCAGTACTCCTCGCTGGGGCTGGTCCTCTGGAGGGTGTGGTTGAGTGCGTGGGAGAGGTTGCCAGGCAGGGCGGGAGGCCGGGAGCCGTTGGTGGCGTTGGAGGCGTCCAGCACGCCGGCGCAGTCGGGCGTGTTCCAGGGGTTACTGCAGTAGGCCCAGGGCAGCACGGGCGTCATGGATGAGAAAAAGTAGTAGAAGGCGATGCAGATGACCACGTTGTAGTAGATGCCGATGTATGCGGACACCACCGTCATGCCGTAGCCCACACCTGGGGAGGAGGGGGCAGAACAGCCTCACACGTCTGGCTGAAGGAGGCAAGGCTAATTCCGAAGGGCGTAAGAGGCAGGGGTGCCACAAAAGAGGCAGATCAAGGCCTTGGCAGGGGCAAGTTGGGGGGCGAAGGGCCTTTGTGTATGAACGTGGTAGGAAGAGAGCGTGGAGGCCAAGTAAACATGGATCCCAGCATGTGTCCGTGGCCTTGGACATTGATGTGGGCCTCAGGTTAACACCAGTGTCCCATAGGGGTTGGCAGTGTTTATACAGATGGGTGAGTCAGCATGGTCCCCAGAGGCCCGTGTGTGTGTGTGTGTGTGTGTGTGTGTGTGTGTGTGTGTGTGTGTGCGCGCGCGCGCGCGCGCGCGCATGCGCACCCCACCCAGGCCTCACCTTTGAACATGGGGCTGATCCTCCAGACCCCCAGGCAGCCCTGACTTGCAAACTGGCCGAAAGAGAGCTCCATGAAGAACAGTGGGATCCCGCAGAAGGTGAGCATGATGAAGTAGGGGAACATGAAGGCACCTGGTGGGGGCGGGGACAGGGCTGGCTCAGGGCGGCTCTGGGGAAATCCCACCCTCTTCCTGCTCAGAACTGACAGCAAAACCTTCGCAACTGGCTGGGCCCCCAGGAGGCTGTGCCACGCACTGGGCCGGAGCCTAGGTCTGAGGCCCACTGCTCACCACCTGTCTTTGAACCTGACAGAGGCTCCCTGGAAGTCTGCTCTGAGTCAAACCCAGGGCCCAGAGCCGCCACGGTTGGGTGGGATTTGATGGCTTAACCAAGCAATTTCACACACATTAGTCAATGAGATCCTCAAATATCGCTGAATCGTTTGGGTGCGGGGCTGCTGAAACACGGGCAGTAGAAAACAGGGAGCCTTGGGAGGTTGGGTTGCTTTTCTCTACCTCTCCTCCCCTCGAGGGAGCAGGCTGCCAGGGTCGGGGGTGCTGCGCCTTAGGTAAAGGGTACCTGAGCCAGGGATGGGGGCAAAGGAGATCAGGGCCAGAGGTCAGCCTGTCTGGAGTGTGTGCCGCAGAGGGGGCGGCTGGGCCCTGGGGGGTGGGCTCTATCCACGTGGGTGGACCCTGCCCTGTGCCCGCTGGCTACCTCCCCCGTTGCGATAGCAGAGGTACGGGAAGCGCCAGACATTGCCCAGGCCCACGGCATAGCCCACGCTCGTCAGTACAAACTCGATCTGGTTGCCCCAGTTGCCTCGTTTGAGGTTCTGGTCCTTCTTGGTGGCCTCACTGGGCACAGCACCATTCTGCGGGAACAGGAGAGAAGCTACCATCAGCAAGGCATTTGCACGCGCGGTGCCTGACCCTTTGGGCCTCCCCCAGTGGGGACACCATGGACCCTCCGGGCCCCCACCCCACCCTGGGCTTCCCCTCTGCTGGCAGCAGCTGCAGGCAGGCCCGGCAGAGGACAGGAGAGGGAGCAGCGGCCGCCGGAGGGTGCCAAGCCGGCCTCCCTCACCAGCCCCCAGCACACTGTGCCAGGGGCACCAGCCCACCTGAGCAGCTGCTACCGACATCTGAGAGGTGGGACACTGAGAGGGAGCTCGAGTTGAGGGCCCCCCAGCGCCAGCCCCTCCCAAGCCTCCCCTCTCCCCTTTGGGTGAGGATCTGGGAGCAGCTGAGCCTCATACCAAGCAGCCAAGCTGGGCTGGGCACAAAGGGGCCTGTGTCCAGACAGCCCCCCCAGCCGTGGCCACCACATCGCCAGGCTGAGCACGCTGCCCATGGCAGGCGGCTGCGGGGGAGAGGACCCGGACCCCTCCCCCAGCTGAAGGCTTTTTCCGGGGGGCACACGGTGGGCAGGGCTGTAGGGTGGGGGAAGGGGGAAGCAACTGAGCTGGGCCAGACCTGGGGAGGGCATTCTGGGGCTCAGGATGGGAGGGCCAGGGGAGCCACATATATTGCCCATGATGGGGGCGGGGGCCCTGGGGAAGCTGACCTGGGCTGGGGGATGCTGGCCATGAGTTGGGGGGAGGAGACCAGAGTTGTAGGCACCACGCCAGACTTGGAGGACAGACTCTGCTAGGGGAAACAGAGGGAGTGACTCTAGAAAAGGGTCTCTGAGCTGAGAAGAGGTGGGCTGCAGAAGACAGGCTGGTCAGGAGGGGCTGATGAGGGAGTTTGCCCCAAGGGAAGGATGCCGGGCTGCCCTGGAGGAGCTGCAAGGCTGGACTGGGTGGCCTGAAGCCCCAATGAGAACCCTAACCCCACAGTTGGAACTAAGCCAGTAAGTTCCTTTATAAGTGAGTGCACCCCTCCCCCATGCCCTGGCCTTTCCACCCCCTACCAGGTGAGCTGGAAATCGAGCCACCCTGAGCCAGAGCCTGAGGGGTCAGAGGTGTCTCACTAAGAGACAGGGACCCCGAGAGTCACCAACAGAGAAGCCCAGAGAGTCCTTGAGTGACGGAGACAGTCTCCCAGAGATGGGCTGTTCTCCTGAGAGAAATGGCCAGGCGTCCCTGGAGGACACCCAGGATCAGAGACACAGCCGCATGGCCTCTGAAGGACGGCACTGCAGTGACGCTGACCCTCAGCTTGAAAGAGACATATTCAAGGACAATAGGCACGCTGGCCAATAAACAAACGGGCCTGGTGCTTTGACACGCTGTCGGACCCTGACACTGACCAACAGATGCAGAGGGGAGGAATGGCCTCCCCAGGCCTGCGCCCTCCGGAAAGGCCCATTTAGGAAGGAAGGCACAGGAGGCCCTGGCACCTGGTGGTGGCCCCCAAGCCGTGCATCCCTTGCTCCCGCAATGGGTACATCTGGGGGGGGGGGGGTTTCTGGGCTTGCACACCACGTGGGCACTACAGCACAGACACCCTTGTCCTGCACATGCAATCCAGCATTGCCCGGAGAAGACACTGAGCCTTATACCATCCCGGAAGGTTTGGGGACACAGTACCAGAAACGGTGGTGCTCCCTTCAAGGAGCACGCAGAGCCAACCGGCAGAGCCTGTGTACTTTCATTCATGCAGCCACGGAGGTTTACGAGCTCCTACTATGTGCCAGGCCCTGCACCAGGCTCGGGGAATTCAGCAGTGAACAAAACACACCCCTACCCACTCAGAGCTAGAAGTCCAGGAGGAAGTAAGCCATCAATGAGATAAACACATAATTTTTTTATGCAACTTCAATGTGCCCACAAAGGGGAATTTCTCAAGTCACAAGAGCATGGAAGGATGACAAGGGGTGGGGCTGGGGGCTGGGTGAGGTCGCAGAAGGCCTGCCTGATGAAGGGGCTTGTCTCTGGGAGTGGGTGGCTCCCAGTCCCAGTGTGACAGGTCTTTACAGAATCTTGCCTAAGCCTGCCACCACCTCTTAGGGCCTTTTTTTGGGACAGGCCTAGAAATACCTCAGGGTCAGGGGAGCATTTTTTCAGAGGGTGTGAGGCCTGCTTGGGGTAGTTTATCCATTCCCAAACAAATCCCAGCCAAATAGGGCTCCTATATGTTGATCCTACAATAACAGTTTTATTCTGTCCAAGGCTTGTTTACTTAGGGGCACAATGGGGGATTGTGGCAGCTGTGGAGTACATGGGTGGGGTCACGAAGCAGCGGTTACAGCTGTAAAAGAGACAACTGAGGGTCCAGGATGGCCTCATGGGCTGGGCAAGGGCAAAGCCTCTTGCAGAGACCGAGGTCCCCAAGGCCTGAAATTCAAGGCCTCTCTCCTGGCCCCAGCCCCCTGACCAAGTGCAGCGGGACCAGACTTGGACCTCTGAGGTCTGCTCCTTCCTTGGCATGGAGGGGGCGGGGAGGGTGATGATGCCTCCAGCCGAGTGCCATAGGTGGTAGCTTGACTGAGCCCTCAAGAGCCAGTGGTCACTCCATTCAAGAGCAGCACACCACTGAGCCTTGTGCTAACCAGTTCAGCCCTACCGGCTGTGACCTGGGGAGGCCAGAGCCTGGGGGACAGGGGCTTGGAACTGGGGATTGGGCTGTGGCGGGAAGTAACTGGCAACACGAGGGGTCTGCTGTGCAGAAGGAGCTAAAATGACGCCGTGCAAGTGGTACGAGGAGCTCGCGGCAGAAGCAGCAGCATCTGCTGCTCCCCGGCCCCGCGGTGCCCAATTCAGGGACTGTGGATGGGATGCTGCCGCGGGAGCCTGGTCCGCAGCTAGGCCTCTGACTTTTAATTCCAGTGCGAGCTATGTGCAGGCAGCCTGGCTGGTGAGGGCATAGGGCTCAGCAAGGACAGAAGAAGCCAAGCTTCCTCCAAGTACACTGGAGGGAAGGGTCCCTCTGTGGGCCGGGGGGTGGGGGGGAGTGGTCCTAGGGGCTCTAGTTCCCTTCCTCCCCCGCCCTCCTCTGGGGACGCCCCTCCACTTCCTTCCCTGGCAGCGACGCCCAAGGCTGGTAAGCCTTTTTCAATGCTGCACAACTTTTTTTCTCCTTGCATAATTTTCCCCATTCTAAGCCTCCCATTTTCTTGATCTGCTAGGTGGACGGCGTGTCACTGATATTAACTGTCCCTGCAGAGGTTGTTGGCTCTGAGGTGCCCACGAAAGAATTTCTTTGTGCTCCTGGTCTGCCCAGACTGGTGGCCTGTCTGCCTAACCCAGCTCGTCCCCGCCCACTGGCCGGGCTCCAGACTGGTGCTGCCTATCACCCACCTCCCCCTGTGTGCCCCTCGCTGCTCTCCCAACCTCCCTCAGTCAGTCGCTCACACCTGGATGGTGAATTAAACCATAGTGGCCTGGTGCCCCTCTGGGCTGCTCCCCTCCTCCTTGGGCTCCCTGGAGGGGCTCCACCCCCCTCACCTCTGATTTGCCCGGTGAGTGATCTCCAGGGCGGGGACTGCCCTGCCCTGCCCTGTGCCCAAGATTCCCCAGGCCAGGCAGGATGCAGGCTACTGGGCGTGCCTTCCATGGCTGTGTGGGTGGGCTGGCTGATCATCCTCCATGACGCCTGCCATGCACAGACACACACGTATAAAACCCTCCATGCCCCTTACCCTTAGAAGCAGTCGTTGACCTGTCTTGGGTTCACAACCTCCCACCCCTGTTCCTGCCTAGAGGGGTGAGCCGCACCGAGCAGTCACTTACATAAGTCCTTTCCATAGCCCTCTGCCCTCTACTTATTCACTGGTCTGGATGAACTCCTGGAATTAAGGGAGTTCAGCTCTGAGGGCAGAATCCAGATCTCCCTCTATACCTTGGGCTTGGCAGGGTGGGACCCTGTGCTGGGGGTTAGAAGCCTAGCATTCTAGAACCTGCTCCCTCAGCAGCCGTGGGCAAGCCACTTCCACTCTCAGCATTCAGCATCTTTACCTGTAAAATCAGGGGATAGACAGACAACCTGAATAGATCTCCTAATATTCTGTAGCTCTGCCCCGCCTGGAATTTGCTATTTCTGACTCTCTCCTGTATTTTCCATTAGTTCCCACTGGCTTTCTAGACAACTTAAAAAAAAAAAAAAAAAAAGTTGTTATTGCTTTCTTTCTGATCATAAAAGCATTATAAGCTTATCATTAAAAAAAAATTGGAAACTACAGCAACGTGTAAAGAAACAATGCTGCAGAGCCCACTCCCAGTGGCGGCCACCAGTACCACCGCAGGGGTGTCCCTTCCTTCTTAATGCTCAGACCCAGAGGCAGCCCAGGATTCCACCCTGGGCGACGGTTGTGCTCTGGCTCCCGACTCCTGCCCTGCGAGAGCGGTGTCCACGGGATATTTCTGTGAATTGTGAGCTCTGCTCTTGGTGGGCACCGAGGGATCCTGCAGCAGCCCGGGCAGCGCGGGCCCCACTAGGATCCAGCAGGCTTCTTGTCCAGGGCTCTGCAGCCCCAGGGTTTGCTCAAGGGATGAAGCCCCTTCCAAGACGAACTTTGTGGAGGAGAATGGGCAAGACCCTACATCCCAGACTGACCTTTGCACCACTTCCAGATCACTGGCAACTTTCTCTGAGTCCCAGTGGGGAATTCAGGCAGAACAGCCAGGACAGTAAACTGTGGCTGCCTCAGGAGACCCTGTGACCCCCTCACACCCTTTGGTTCTTGTTTCCCCAACTTCTCTCCCGTCGGTCCAATCAACCCAGGAGCCAGGCTGGCCCTCAGGCAACATCTGCCCCGCAATGACAGAGCCTTCCATCTTTCATCTGGCTTTGCTCATCCAGACATGGGAAAGAGCCAAGGGCCCGGGATGGAG